TTTTTTTTTTTTTTTTTTTTTGTATATAAAAATATTAATGACAATAAATATTACCATTTTGGTATTTACGGTGGAAAACAAATTACAATTTATTTGTAAATAAAATTCATGTTTTGATAAAAGAAGAGGAAAAGAGGGGGAAAATTGAGTGTATTCTTTTGAGAAAATCTATCTCAGATTGAGGCATAGGGACGACAGGGAAGTGGAGTGATTGTTTCTTTTTCTTTTTACTTTTTTTATTTTAAAAAAATTTTGGTATTTGAGAAAGATTTTGGTTCCAGGTAAATACGAATCTACCTAACTTAATCTAACCATTTCTCTTATTTTAGTTCTCTTCTTATGGACCTTTTCCAATCTCGTCCTTTTCTTTTGTTTCAATCTCACTAATTTGGCGTCGTTTATGACATAGCTTCAACGTCTCATGGCGCTGATGAACACAAGACCTATACATGTAGGAGCCTCCTGAAAAAAAACATTCAAAAATAGATTACATCCGTTAATATATCATTATAACGGAAAAATATGTTGTATTAATAGTATTACCAAAATAAGATATTCAATCTTATTTATACCCTTCAGGTTATTACTTAAACATAATCCTTCTGTATATTATCCATGTGCGGTTAAATATGTTATTATTAACTTTGAATATTTCATATAATGAATAATATTATATTGTAAATAAAATTATTATTAAAAATTAAATAATTAATCCTAAGGTCTTAGAGCATAAATCCAACTAGAGTTCCATTCACCGAGGTTATATTGTAAATAAAATTATTAAAATAATCATTAATTACGAGTCTTTAGAGAATAAAATTCAACAATCGTAGACTTTGACTTGGATCGTCGAGAACATTTACTTGACAGGTTTCAATCTTTACCTTGGGTTGACCTTCGTCTTCGGCTTATGGTCAGCCTCAACCTCTTCAACCTATTCTTCCCTCTTTTCCTCTATTAGACTTTATAAGTAAGATTCGGTCCCTTCATCTTTTCATATAGAATCATTTAGATATGTGTCTTTCAATTATATATTTGTAACGTTTTGTAGGTTGGACCGTTGAGTGTGTTTTACAAGCATAACTTGTTTTTGTGCTTTTAGTATTTCCACCTTTTGTTTTCAAACACGAAATTTTTTTACGTACATGTAGTGTTGTCCCTACAGTGGCCTATAATTTCATCCGAAAAATGAAAGAAAAAAAATTCACCAGCTATTCGAGAAAATTGAAGTCACTAAACACTTCGCAATTCGCAATCGTAAAGTAATCAACCTCCCAAGTTTAAATGAAACTAAAATCATTACTCAACTACAGCCCAAAAGAAAACTATATTAGTCAACAAAATCCAAAAAAGTAGGGAAAAAAAAAGTCAAAAGAGAAAAAGGTATGATTGAGTAACGTTAAATTAGTTTGAAACAAACGAGATTGAAATTTGTATTGGTTTGAAAAAAGAGGAAAAAAGAAGAAGAATGGAAGTGGTTCCAAAATGGGAAAAAAGTTGTGGGTATTTGTTTGATTTAGTTTGTCTCGATGTACATCACGTAATACATCATGTTCGAGTGGATTACTTCTCCCGCGTTATGTACAGGTGCGTATGCCATAATATTATTCACGTTTCTTTCATTTACTGTTGGTAGCACAAGCATGTGCTAGCCCATAATCAAGCCTAGATGGTGTGCTAACGAGCCCACCAAGTGAGTTCATATGCATGTGTGTAGATCGTGTGTATAGAAATATTATGCATCCAACTCTATTAAAAACCGAAAGCAGAACCCAAAGAACAATCAAGAAAAAATTGGTCACACCAACCATGATACACGTTGTATGTGGACATATTTTCCTACTCCGACGTAGTAGGGTCACTTATCAAGTAATTTTTTAAAAAATACTTATCCTATGTTTAATAATTTTTAGGGTAAGATAACAGGCCCATACACAGTTGACGAAGTTTGTCGAAGATGCCATGGAAATGAAATCATTCTACATCTCTTTTATAGTTTGATTGTTGAGTAATATTTTTATTCGTTGAGTTTTTTTGTTAGGAGATTCTGAGTCTAAACGAGTGATTATTTAGTTACACTATTTTTAGTTCAATCATAAAATATGTTCAAGTATTAAAATAACATTGGTGCGTAATTCTATAATGCTTAGAACGATGGAGTGATTCAAATTTCAAACAAGTGTTCTTACCATAAATTTTTTTTTATTGTCCTAAAATTCTTGGATATTTAAATTTAAAGGTCTTGTTCTTCAACAACGTTATTAGATCAAATTAATGAGCCCGAGACATGTATAGTGAATACAGGGTCGTGGGTTGTGGAGTTGCATGCATCTTTACAGAGAATATAATTTCTATCTGTTGCATTCAAAATCAGCAGATTTAGAGTGCTCCACTGCTTTCAATAAATTATGTACATATTCCTAGAATTAACAACAACTCAAAGACGGAGATTTCCCAGGTTGTCTCATGACTTGGCCTCTACTTTTTCTTTATCATTTTCAACTGCAGATCTTATCACCTTCACGCGAAATACTGCCTGCATTTATTCAAAAATATAAACAATTCGTAACAACGTTACGAGACCACGAATTCATTCTCGACCAACTGATGCAACGTCGTAGACCAGACAAGTTTCAGGACTAAACACAAAACGTGCTAAAGTTTTCGTATTACCTTCTTATCAGAACCAAACTCGATGACATCCGAATGATGGAAACGTACTGGAAAATTTTGAGGTACACGGCTCCGTCTTCCTTCGTGACTGCAGTCGTATTTGCAAATGTATATCATCAGCCACAGACTGACTTCTAGACTTCTATTTTTTTGGAGTTCAGAGATGCCTCATAAAATATACTTACTCAGAGAGCCAGGTACCGTGCTCACTTCCTAGATCAGTCAAGAAGAACGCCCCGTCTTTGTAATGGACACGGGCGTGCTTTTCTGAAACCTGCGATTCGGAAGGATAATGGGAATAAGTTAGTAAGATTGATTCAACTTTCAAACCCCAGCAGTGTAACAGCCCAAGCCCCACCGTTAGTAGATATTGTCCTCTTTCGACTTTTCATTCCGAGCTTCCCTTTAAAACGCGACTACTAGGGAGAGGTTTCCACACCTTTATAAGGAATGTTTCGTTCCCCTCTCCAACCAACGTGGGATCTCACAATCCACCTGAACGTCCTCGCTGGCACACTGCCCAGTGTCTAGCTCTAATACCATTTGTAACAGCCCAAACCTACCGCTAGCAGATATTGTCCTCATTAGACTTTCCTTTCCGAACTTCCCCTCGAGGAAGAGGTTTCCATACCCTTATAAGGAATGTTTCGTTCTCCTCTCGTGGGATCTCATGGAATTCTTTTCAAGCATATAAAGCATAATCAATTCACCTGAGGCAATGGTAAGGCGATTGACAACCCTGACTCCACTTCCCTCTCCACACTTCTGCATCCATAAGAGAATGCCCTTAGCAAATGCAACCAATTTTTTTTATACCAACAGAAAGAATAGAACACAAAGACATACCCAATAAAACAGGCCTGGTTCTCATCTCTGCTTAGGCGAATGGGCTGCGAAACACTAGCCTCGTCTCCTTGCGGTAATAGAAACCATCTAATAAGAAAACACGTTCGATTTTAATGCAAAGATCAGATGCAAGGTTACCATTAAACGAACAATCGGGACCATGAGCTTACTCTCCGTTAATAGCACGCTGCAGGGCATCGTCATCTTCAAACCACTTACGTAACTCATCATTCGCCTTCATAGGTTGTCAATTGGTACATTATTTCAAGAAAATAAATTTCAATGACTAAAATAAAAAATTAAAATGAGACTGATCATAACATTAACGCAAGATAACATACTTTGTCTGAGAGTCTGCAAGCTGGTGGCCTCCCTTCTAATTTTGAACTGCAGAAAAAAAATGATTTCTTATGTTAATTTTTCTCATCATATTCATACTCGTGGGAGAAAGCTTCTCGAGTGTCATCCTTCTCTACGGTAGGTTAATAACTTCTCGAGTGTAATGAAAGCTTTGAACTGTGTAAGTTTTCACTAAATACGTCTTCCTTTCGAAAGAAGAACGATGAAAGAGAGGTTTTTAAGAACTTGCCTATTACCACCTAAGACCCAATTAAGCATCAAGGGCATTGCCAGATCGATAAAAAACCTTCCACCAACACGTCCTGGATGCGGTATTCGGAACTGTGTCAAAAACTAGACGATTGATTGAAACTCATCAGTCATACCGTGCAGCCTTGCCTCACACAAAAGTTAAATCTATGGTTGGAAGTTAGTATTATCCATCAATTTCTTACCGAAAGCGGGCCAAGTCCGACTCCCAAATAAGCTTTATAGGTGGAAGCCATCGTTGCAGCCATTCTTGCCATTCCATGAATTACAGCAACCCGAATTCTTCTAGTACTCTCATAACTAGGATGATCATTTCGAAAACCGATTAATAAAATTAAATTAAGAAGGATAAAAAAGTGAAAAAAAAAATATTAACAGGCCAGAAACAGTACCGCTTCAACGAAGATACGATATCAATAGGAGATCTTGAGACTACGCTTTCATTCCATGCTTTATCCAGCTCAAGTGCAAGTTGATAAGCGTCCTATAATCACCAGAAAGAAATGGTAAGAACAACAACCCGGTTTTATTACATTTGAAATTCCTACTTCAGCAGAAGAGTGACAGAGGAAGAAACTTCAATGTGCGGTGTCCTAGAAGAATTAGAGGCGACGGATCATTTATAGACGCTAGAACTTATCAGCAGCGAAATTAGTATGGATCAAAAGATATAAATCAAGAAACTCGAGATGGAAATGAGAACCTCAATAGCCATGCATCCCCCTTGACCCATATTTGGCTGCATAGCATGTACTGAATCTCCAAGTAAAGTTATGCGACCCTTTCCCCATGTGAAAATGGGTGTGCGATCGTATATATCACGTCGAAGAATGGAATCTTCATCAGTCGCAAGTATCAGATCTATAACATTGTCACACCAACCTTCAAATATTTTGAGCAGTCTTTCTTTTTTGCCTGCCAGGAAGCCGATCAAATGTTATTCAAGAAAGTACGACCCTCGGAAACTCCTAACATTCTACATCATAGTAGAGTTGTCATTAGCATCTTGTATTGTTCCCATCATAAGTTAGTTAGCAGAGTGGCAAGAACTCATGTAAACCGCACGTGCCTGGGATCATGCATTGAGCATGAGTTAGCTAGAACGAGTGGCGGCGCTTTATTGTTAGAAGACAAAAAGAAGATGGTACGAAGAGTCGCGTAATTCATTCAAGAATTAGACATTCCAAGTGCAAGAGAGTTCTATGAACTGTAGCTTGCCGATTGTCGTTAGTGTCGGGCAGAACAGATTTATTCCTCTCTAGTAGAGGAGGCATGATTTCAATCAATTACAAAAGTTACCATAGACGTACCGTTCGGGGCATCAGTGCCACCAGGTGGTTCCTTATGAAATGCATACCACTGCATCTTTCCTCCACCGACGTCGGAGGAAACAAAGTATTGTTTGTGTCCCAAAAACACTCGGTACCTTCAGAATACGAATCAAAAGACAGGTCTTAGAACATAATACCAAAAACTTTTGTCTACATACATTGCAATAAAGAGTTTAATCTTACCCAACAGTCTCAATATCAGCTGGTATGAAGTCGGCGATACCCGTATAGCAAGTGTACTCAGAATATACTGCTTCTGAGTGTCCAAATAGGCCCTTTCTGACCTGATATCATAAATCATACAACATGAATATCACTAAGAACATGAAGAACTAGTAATATATATTGGTAGTACCTTTGACCATATACCATCAGCTCCAACCAGGAGATCACCCTCATGTTGCTGTCCATTTTCAAGAATCACTTTCACCTGAAGGCACATAATGCAGAACATAATCTTTATCATGAAGCTATAAGCTCGGTTTTTTGCAAGCACAAGAAACGGACTGCGATGGGATATTACCTTATCTCCACTATCCTCAAAGTCAACAACATTACTATCATTTATAATAACATCATCACCCACAGCACGAGCAAGAATTTGTTGCAACGCCATCCGACTGATAACCCTTGTGACAGGAAGTCCTCGTTCTGCTGCAGGAGTGAACGTGTCAAACTTGACGTACCTGGCAAAGAGTTACATATTCTTCATGTAACAGAGATCTGAAAATTGGCATCTCAAAGAATATATAGCAAGAAACTCAGCAAACCGAGTAAAAAAGGGAAATCTTGTGATAAGTTCCATTTGTTGGACGACAAATCCGTTTCATTCCCATTCGTTCGTAGGTTCATATTCCAAATTTATCTTAACGAACAGTCTTCTTACTTCTACGTGAAATATCAATGAACCTCACGCATAGTGATACTGCCTAACAAAAGTTAAAAACTACGAAACAATCTCAACTTCTTTCGTAAAACTTTTTTATATCTTTCTACACGACGATAACGTAAATAAAAGCTTTAAAGGCAAACTTTCGGGTGAGCTTAATAAGGACTTTTATCCACCTAATCTAAAGACAAATTAACCAATAACTTCTAGCAGACAACAAATCTTACACTGCAATATATCATTCATCTTTTTTGGGTCAAATGTCTCAGATGTTAACATGATAGTGTCAGCTAAATCATAGTTTTGAAAAGTAAGTCCAATTTTAATCCATGAAAGTTCGTTCTAGAGAGTATCAGATTCTAAATAGATTCACGAATAATCAATCAAAACAAAGGACTTCATACCAATTTCCAGAAACCCCATCAACGAGTCCATTGATTCTATCTCCAGTAATACAGCCAACTCTCATAACTTCTTCAGCAACCTCCAAATCAATGGCTTCCAAAGCAGCCAAAGCATTACTCTGTATCTGAATCGGCCCCCTGTACTGCCCCTCTCCTCTAATGGCACTTATATCCCTCTCGAAAACCACTACTTCAAACCCTTTCTTTTTCGCCGCCAAAGCAAAAACCAGACCTCCAATTCCACCACCGGCTACTAGTATCCGAGCCTTCTTCGTCGGCAAGCTCCGGTTGATTTCCCCGGTCGTCCCTTCCGCCGGTGGTGCATCTGCGACGGCGGCTTTCACTTGGGATACTTTCTTCCTCTGCCCACATGCTGTTTTACCCCCAAAATTACATACGCTCCTCTGACTAGGCGAAATCTTAACTAGGGAATCCCGAAATACTGGAACTGGGAAACAGGTTCTTGATAAGCCAGAGGATGAAAGATTAAAAGGGTTGTGAAATCTGGTCGTGACCATGGTGAATCAGTGAAGAAGCCACAACTATTGAAGAATTTGCAGAGGTAAAAGGAAGAGAAGATGATGATGATACTAAACTAGGAAGAAATGGAGATGGGTGTTTTGAATGATGAATTGGGTCGGTTTAGGAGACTTGTAGCACTGAAATTCTTGGGAGTGGTGGTGGAAATTTCATGGCCACGTAATAGATGGACGATTGAAGTGCATTTTGTGCGTATTTTGATGGCCATGTACCGAAGAAGAAAGATCTTGTTTAGTGGTTCATGTCTAGCACACCACTATTATCTTGATTGTTTGCTACCGAAAGTGATCGCTATCCACACCTCAAAATGAGTACCCTCCACTAATAAATGTTAATTTTTGTTTGCTTTTTTTTTTTTCTGGTGGTAGAGTTCGAATTTGAAGACGAATATCATGAAATGGATGTTTCCACTTCTGGGGCGGGGAGAAGTTCAAAAAATTCAACTTTTTTAGGCAATTTAGGTAAGGAAGTGCTTTTCTCTTGCTATAAACAGAAGAACCTCAAATTTTTCGACCATGTTCTTATTGAATTCACATCCAAATTTTATTATGAATTCATTGAATAATCTGTCCATCCAAACTAGTGTTAATTTAGTTGATGTATTGCATCCAGTTCTAAGATTAGACTCTATCTCTAGACTCTTTTTAGTTTGAATTATTATATTATAAAGAAATAAAAATTAGAAGAACCTACATAGTGAAGGAATATTATTTTCGATCCAACTTAGAGGAGAATCTCTCACGAGTAATAAACGAGTTTGAGGCTTCATTTCTATAAAACCTTCTTTATAAACATATATTCAATGTGTGTTAGTTATCAAGTAGGCAGATTGACAAAGTGTAATCTAATTAAGTGAAAATTTTCAGGTAAAAAAATGGATGGACTAAGGCCCCTCGAGCTGCAATGGCGTGCATATTCGACCCTTACTGAATTCATTCTATTCAAGAAAATGAAGAAAGAGAAGCTCATTTCATGTCTTCACCTTCGATGCAATAATACACCAGCTAGTTGTGCTAGTTGTCGGAAAGAAAAGAAGTAAGGAGGAAGAAAGTTGTCATAGAAACAAAGCTTTCTACACCTGAAGGTGTAGTACTCGACTCGTCTCTATGTTGATTCAAAAAGTCACAGACGGTTCCTACAAATTCTAAAAAGCGGCAAGAATGACAAAAGGAGGTGCCAGCAGCTTCGGTAAGACGAGGACTGGCGATTGGAATAGAAGGATGAGCTCTTGTTACTCCTCGTTAGGCAACAATTGACACAATTGACCCAGGTGTTTAAAGAGGGATTGGAGCTGATGGAGAAGACAAAACCAAACATAGAGCTGCTTCTGTTTGGCCCGACGAGAAATTAAAAACATTCAATTTTTTTAAAGTCGAATTTTCGAGATTTTATGTACATCATTCCATACATAACATAGCTTCCACCATTCCAACTATTATCTCGAGTCAGTTATGTTATATATTATTCCCTACATAACATGGCTTCCATGACATGACATAGGGAGGTTATACATCATAGATTTTCTGATTTCAAAACATGTCATGTCATATCATAGTATATCATGACATGTTATGACATAACATCACTTATCATTGCCTAACATGACATTTTGTTTATATCATAGTATTATTTCGTATATCATATAACGTAATATAACATAACATCATATATCAAAACATATCACACATATGACATAGCTTGGAGTCACTGGGCATGTGTCATCGTACATAAAACAATTCTTCCAACCAAATCGATAGTGGAGTCACTTACTTGGTTGACCTAAGCTCGAGTTACTAATTATTCTTGGTATTAACCTGAATTTGCTCCTCATATCCATTATGTTGATAATATCAATTAAAACAAAATGACTGCAAAGATCAACCATCTTACCGTCCAATTATTGAGGATAAAAAAATATCTCGACATAAGTATTTAATGTTTTAAAAGATAAAACTATTTCTTTTTTCAAATTTATTTGCGTATAACTATCCTGTTGTTAGTTCACTGTAGTTAGTTTCTTATCCAAGACATACATTCAGCGAGTGCTAGCCCTACCATCAAGCCTAGGGGGTGTGCAAGCCTGTCTAGTGGGTCCACGTTCACACATGTGAGTCATGTATAAAGAAGTACTATACGTCCAATTTAGCCCAAACTGAAAAGCCGCCTAAGATAATGAAATCATATTTTAAATGATACGCTATACCATGTTGCATGTGACTGCATTTCACAATCCCATAGTGGGGCCACTTGTAGAATATTTCCTAAAATACTCAAACCATGTGTTACTCTTAAATTTCATGTGAAGGCAAGACACCCCTATACAGATAACGACAACATTGTGACAAAAGGCATGGAATTGTGTTAGGTTGCTGTATTTATGTTTATTTGTAGCTCTTAGGATCACGGGCATTGTGTTATTCTTTTCTTTATTTTATTTAAATTTTCGTTGTTTAGTTTTAAAGATTTCATTTTCAAACGACCCAGGTCCATGACATCATTTATGAACTATTTTAAATGTTTCACACTTTACAGTCATGTCATGCATGTCGTAGAAAATTAGAGTCGTTAATTGTTGATATAGGTAGTAACTTTAGTTTTTTTTAAACCTTTTTTAGTCATCCTATACTCTCGTTCAAATATGATTTCGATGCACAACTTTTAACTAAAATAATAACATAAACAAAGACTTAAGTGCTAAATTGACTAAAGCTTACAAAAATAATGGACTGTTTGATAAAATATTACGTATATATGTTTGGGCAGTTTTGTTTGCGTTCTTCGAGTTTTTTATTTCAAATAATTATTTAAAATATAAAATATTTGAAAATCATAGCAGTCGCTGTACCATTGGCTTGTCGGTTAATGACTTCTTATTATAATGTAGCATGAGATGATCATACATGTTTTAAATATTATTGTACTACCTGTTTTTTTTTTATTATTTATTATGATTCACCACTTATAAAAATGAAAATTTTAATCTCTAATCTTTTTTGTTAATATCTAATAGTCAAATTAACTAATACTTGTTTAATATACCATTTTTAGTTTAACATGTATATATAAGAAATCGAATATATTTTGGTTCGTGATATAACATCTTTAAGGAATTGAATTATATTTAATTTTAAACTAAAAAAAAAAAGGCATGATATGGCGATATAATTCATAAATATTTCTTGGTCAACTTAATAGCCAACCCATTAGTCCCTTTAATTACTCAATCGTGAACATGCTACCTATATATATATATATATAAAAGAATCAAAAGAGATAAACACAAGGAAATATATATATGATCTTGAGCTTAAAGTTCGGATACCAAATGATATGGAATCAATACAAGAGAAGTAAGATTTAGATTACTTTGTTGATCGAATATCTCAAGGTAAAAATACTTGTTTGAGATTTGAATCACTTCACAAGCAAGATCGATCATGTCTAACTTGAATGATTCTTGTTGATCAAATCTCTCAAGGCAAGAATACTTGTTTGAGATTTGAATCACTCCACAAGTAAGATTAATCATGTCGAGCTTGAATGATTCTACATGCAACCTAAACTAGGTAGAATTGCAAAGAAACTTAGTCATTCGCTAAAGGAAAGCACACAAATGCTTCTTTTAATATATTTTTCAAGTCTACTTACCAATACAATATACATGACTTTATATAGTCTAAAAATGAAACTCTTGACCTTACGTGACTTTTCAACCGTTTGTACCATTCATACTTTATGACTATAATTAGCCACCATGTAAATGTAACTTTGAAGTAAATAAAAAAAGTCTTAAAATACATTAATGAAATACAATTACTCTAAACCGTAATCCACTCCAAATTTATAACAATCAAGTTTCATTCTTCTTTGATGTGACATGAATTAAAATATCTTTTAATAATTTAAACATAATTTGCTTTACCTCTTCATTGAAATATATTGTATGATTGATGTCTCTTGGTTCGTATCAATCCATGTAAGTGGCTCTACTATCGACTTGGCCAAAAGACTTGCTTTATGTATGATTGGCACGTGCCTAATGGCCCATGCACGTGTCATCTATGTTGAAATGATGTGTTGTTATGATATAATATGTTATGATAATGTGATATGCTATAATGCTATGATGATGTGATATACTTTGATGCTATGATACGTTATGATGATGATGTGATGTATACTTTGATGCTATGATATGTTATGATGATGTAGTATGCTATGATGACATGAGATGTATGATGATACCTCATGTTACGATGATATGCATGTATGAAATGTCATGTTGCATTATGATATGGCATGAATGATAATGAAGAGTTTTCTGATACACAACCAGAATGTATGAAAGCTTATGCATGCATGTTACCTAAGGTAATATGTGAAGAATATGTGGGGTTGTGTCGCATGAAAGTTTAAGACAAAAAGTATAGGGACCTTATGTATATTGTATGTTCATTTACATCAGAATACTTATTTTTATGATGAGTATGAACGTGTACACTATGATGATGATGATAACGATGACGAGTACACTATGATGATGATGATGATAACTATGACAAGTACACTATGATGATGATGATAATGACGACAACAACTATCATGTTTGGCATATGATACATGACGGTCACTCTACCTCTTAACATTCAGCTACAGTCAATTAGCTCAACCATGCAGGCCCAGGAGGTGTGTGAGCCCGCCTGGTGGGCCTATGCTTGCACGTGTAGGTCGTAGAGAAGTATTACACATCAAATTTGTTCAGACCGGAGGCCACCTAAAAGACTATGATTTTAAATGATAGGTCTCTAAATGATGATTGTACATGTTTGCATTCACGGACCCCAATAATGAGATCACTTCCTGAATTTTTCTTAAAATACTCCAAACATGTGTTAGGTAAAGGCATGATAATATATTTTAGATTAAGTAAAAAAATGACATACCAACGTAAGTTTAAAGTAACCAATATGATATAAGTTTAAAAATAGAAAGAGAACCGAGTGATTCAAGGGCTGAGTGGAAGCTTTCTCTGTTGAGAAAGCCTTTTGGCAAATTGAGTGAGGGCTTCTTCATTTGTACCTTCTCCATCAACAGCCTCGTATTCTCCAGTTTCTAAGTTTACCCTCGACACCGCTTTCTTTAACAGCTCCTTCCCCACCTCTGTCAGCTTCTTCAAGTTTTGCTCTGTTGCAATATCAACTAATGCTACTTCCCCACTCAAATCCGTTTCCTGTCCGACCCAAATCAATCCGAATTACGTCGAAATAAGTAAAAGGGACAAAAAAAAAAAAAAAAAAAATTTAAGCAATTTTCTTTGTTGAACATCTCAGGAGTATTTATAGCTTGGAAAGCACTCACTAGCAACTATTACCAATTCTCCTATAATTGCTACCTAAGTTAGTAACTTATTCTACTAAGTCTACTGACAATTCTCTTAAAGTTAGTCGGCCATAGTGTGGAAGGGGTACCTGAATGCGAAGATAGTTTTTGTGGCAACGGAAAGATTGAAAGAAAGAACCAACATGAAAGTCGACCATATCGGAACTTGCATCGCTGAAGATATCAACTATTGGAGTGGCCCCATTGTCATAAACCCAATTAAACATGCCCCATTTTGCAGCTTTGGTAGCACTGTACTTTCCTTCATTCTTAGCTGCTCCAGTGCCTAAAGAAAGGACTAGCATCCTTTCTGTTTCCATGGGCTTGGTCTTGAAGGGTTCACAAATGTTTGTCCCTTTGGATACTTGGGTTATGGCAGCCAGGGTCTATACAATCAAATTTTGTGAGGAAATGTGAATGAGGTGTAAGAGTTTAATCAGAAAATACTTACTGGGTTGTTTGCTGCAACTCCACCATCAACCATATTGAAAACGTGAGTATTTCCCATGGAGTTGGTTGTTTGAAATTCATATGCTGGCAAGTAAGTTGGTGCTGCAGATGTACTGATGCACACATCTGCCAACTTTGGATTCTTCAATTCATCCCACCTTGCCTGCATGTTCCAATTTAATCATAAAGTTTCAACTAAATAAATTTGAATATTAAGCATTAGGTTGGAATCATGGAATGTGATTGTGAGATTCTACCTTGGTTGAGGAGGAGAACGAAATTTTTTTTATAAGAGTGTGGAAATCTCTTCCTAATAGACGAGTTTTAAAATTTTTGAGGGGAAGCTTGAAAGGAAAGCCTAAAGAGAACAACGTTTGTTAGTCGTGGGCTTGAGCTGTTATAAATGGTATCAGAGTCAAACACCAAACGATGTGCCAGCGAGGAGGTTGAATCTTGAAGGGGGTGGACATGAGGCGGTGTGCCAACAAGGACGTTGGGCCCCAAAAAGAGTGGATTAGGGGGGTCCCACATCGATTGGATAAGGGAACAAGTGCCAACGAGTACGTTGGGCCCCAAAGGGGGTGGATTGTGAGATCCCACATCAGATGGGGAGGAAAACGAAACACCTTTTATAAGGGTGTGAAAACCTCTTTCTAGCAGACGGGGTGGATTGGGGTATCCCACATCAATTGAAGAAGGGAACAAGTGCTAACGAGGATGCTGGGCCCCAAAGGGGGTGGATTATGAGATCTCACATTAATTGAGGAGGAGAACGAAATACCCTTTTAAGAGTGTGGAAATCTCTCCCTAGTAGACGCGTTTTAAAAACTTTGAGAGGAAAGGGAAAATCCAAAAATGACAATATCTACCAGTGGTGAGCTTGGGCTCTTACAATGATAGTCATATATATTGAGAAATTCTTAGTAGACGCGTTTTAAAAACTTTGAGAGGATTTCTAAATGGAAAGCCCAAAAAGAACAATATTTGCTAAGGGTGGACGAGAGATGTTATAATGATAGTCATATATTGAGAAATTCCTAATCGTAGAACATTTTAGGAGAAGAATTGTTAGTAAAAAAACATTATGATTAAAAAGTATTTTTAGAACAAAACACAAGTATTTCATTGTGTTTCGGTATATTTCAATCGAGAATCAAAACCAACGAACTTCTCATACCTTAACATTGGAGAAGATCACAGGGTGAAGATGATTGATGTCAAACGCAGGAATAACAACATTTGTCAACGTTTCCTTAAGAGTTGTGTCCCCAAGTTGGTCATTCAGCAATGTCCTCAAGTATTTTCCATCGTACTTTGGCCCCAAAGCTTTACTAAATAAATTGGTGACTGAGCTGAATAAATGGCTGACACACAACAAAACACTCATTTAGTCATTATATCTAAAAATTACAAAGTCATTCAAGCAAAGATGTATGGACGTACGAACTTTTTTTGGGGGAAAATTTTTGGAGAACGTTCCAAAAAGAAGTTGGTTAGATCTTTGGCTGCATATAAAGGCTTCTTGTCTTTGTTCGGAGCTGTAAGCATGATAGTAATTAAACCACCTGTACTTGTTCCAGCAATTAAATCGAAGTAATTCGCTATTCTTGCATCCGGGCCATCCAATTCCTAACCAAAAAACAATCATTTCTTATATCAATATAGAAATTATTCAAGCCCACCACTAAAAGATATTATCCTCTTTGAGTTTTCTCATTCGGACTTTCCATCTAAAGAGAAGTTTCTACACCTTTATAAAGAGTATTACCTGAAGCTTGGACTCGAGAAAAGCTAGAATAGTTGAAGGAATGATGCCTCTGATGCCACCTCCATCGATACTCAAAATAGTTGTCATCTTCGATTTTGGAAGATCAGCTGCCATGGTTATTTTCTTGGTTTGGGTAGAAAGAAGGGTATCTCCAAAGGGGTGGTTATAAATGAAGAACCCTCGATGTCTGGTCAACCATGCATGTGCATGTTTTTTTTATGTTTCTGTTCATAGATACAATTTTATTGGAAGGCAAGTCAACTATGGTGGGCACGTGGAATTTTGTCCGTTTTAAGAAATCATTATTAATGGTTTTTGTGTTAAACAATAAGTTTTAATAGTTTTTATTTTGTAGAGATGTCCATTACGTTTTAAATTTCTGATTGATGTTGTTAATGCTAATTGAATTATAAATTCAAATAGAAATAACTAAATCTCAATGTTCAGGTGGGCTGAAGGTGGCTGGGCTGGCGTTTCGAATCTGGGCCGAGGGAGGTGGGTTGCACGGTTTCGAGCCTAAGCTTCGGGTCTGGCACTCGTTCACTTCTTCAATCAATGTGGGACTCCCCAATTCACCCACCATTCGAGTCCTAGTGTCTTTGCTGGCATACTGCCTTGTGTCCACCTCCTTCGAGGCTCAGCCTCTTCATTGGCACATTACCCGGTGTATGGCTCTTATACCATTGTAACAACTCAAGTTCACCGATAGCAGATATTGTACTTTTTGAGCTTTCCCTTTCACCCTTTCCTTAAGGGTTTTTAAAATGCGTCTATTAGAGAGAGATTTTCACACGCTTATAAAGAATGTTTCGTTCTCATCTTCAATGTGGAATCCCATCGAATTCAAGGATTTATTAGATATTATTTGAAGTTTAGCAATGTGTAACATGAAAGGGAACTATAGAAATGATAGGTGAAGATTAATAAATGACCCGGAAATGAAGATTAGGTGACCATCATGATTATAATCGGTGAATATGTAAATTAATTAGAGATTATTTTAATTACAAATTATTAATATCATGACATAGTCAATCAATATCTAAATTGTTTGGGGGTTACTATCATAACAATCCATTAATATTTTAGTACAATGTAAATAAATGATTTCACATGTCAATCACTACCACTCTCAAATTAATTAATGCCTAATTGGATTCTTTTTCTATTAAAAATAGATTCATGGCTTTTAATTTAAATATATATAATTTTGTAACGATGAACATTAGGATATGATGGTTAAATTTAATAAAACATATAAAAAAAGAACCTAAGTTTAAATATTCAGCTTATATACTTTTTGAAATTAAATACATTATAACATTATTAAGGAATCTCAACCTAAGTTTAAATTTGTAACATTCGAGTAAAAAAAGGTATGACTTCTCCTAAAGGTTTTTAAACACGTCATCTATGGAGAGGTTTCCACACTTTATAAAGAGTGTTTTGTTCTCCTCCAACCAACCGATGTGGGATCTCACAATCTATTCCCTTTGGGGCCAGCGTCATAGTTGGTACTCGTTCCTTTCTCCAATCGATGTGGGATCTCCTACCAAATCCATCTCCTTTGAGGCCCATCATCCTTGCTGACACGTCGCTTCATGTCTACTCCCTTCGAGGCTCAGCCTCCTCACTACCACATCACCTGGTACCTGACTCTAATACCATTTGTAACCACCCAATCCCACCACCCGCAGATATTGTCCTCTTTGGGCTTTTTCTTTCGGGATTCGCCTCAAAGTTTTTAAAACGCATCATTTAGGAAGAGATTTCCACATCTTATAAAGAATGTTTCGTTTTCCTCCCCAATCGATATGGGATCTTACAATGAATGGATACCACATCTGAATAACAGTGATCTTAAAGATAAAGACTATTACAAAGAATTTAAAGTTACTATCTACACCAATAAGATGTATCTTCCTTTTTCAGTAGGTTAATCATATAAAATAACTCGTGTTGATCTATAAAAATAGTCTTCATTCTTAGAAATAAAGAGTAAAAACATAATCACGTTGCAGAAAATGCAAGGAAATATTGGAATAATTAGGTGAATCGAAATGAAAACCAACCTTTTTAAAGTGTCCTTTCCTTAACAGCTGGATCCATAGCAAAATAAAGGTTAAAGGAAGAAGGTGGTGAGAAAATGGTAAGAAAATGGTACCAAATTTAAAGGTGAAGATGTAATGATATGAATGAAGTGAAATTATGATAAGCTTTTTGACCTTTTGGGGGCAATTCATTGCTTACCCACTCATGAAATTGATTCAAACCCACCCACGAACCTTCCTCCTTTGGTAAACAAATCAAAAGCAACTCTTCTTTTTTCTTTTCTGGTGGAACACACCCCTTCAAATCAACCATCAAAATCATTCATCTTTCAACCCTTTACCATACTTTATCTAAAACTTCCTTCAAATTATTATGATCTCTATGTAATTGTTGTTTATTATTATAAAATTTGAAAACACAAAATATCACAAATTTGAGTAATAAACGAGATTAATATAGGATTTAAGAACAACATTTAATTATTACGACCATAGTTTAATCGGAACGCTTTTCCAAATACATATCCATTTATGAAATAAACAAAAAAATTCATGAATTTAAGCATTCGTAAAAGTGTAATCATAGTAAAATTACATTTGAAATCTCGAGTAACCATGTCTATAGTCTTATATTCAAATTTCATTCTTAAACAGATTTGAATACATAGTATTCTTTACGTATGGCTATGGCGGGTGATTAAACACTTTTACGGTTGTTACAACAAATTTCTTTTACAAATAATGCAAGCACAAAAAATGTGTTTAAAATAAAAACGTGTTCTAGGCAATAAAAATGGAAAAACTTTTTAGACACTTTTTATTAGCAAAAAGTACTTTACTTTTTACTTTTGGTGCTTTAAAAGACTATAGCAATGAAACTTAATAATAAAAATGAAGCAATTAAAATGAAATAATTGGTAGAGTTTATGTGGGAATGATAAGGTTTGCATGAGTCCAATAAGAATAGACTGTGGAGACCCCATCAATACATAATATATATAATACAATGTCAAATGTCACTATCAACTTTGGCATTTTCATTTAACTCTCCAACCCTACCTATTATATTCCACCATAGACTAGTCTCTTCTTTCCTTCATAGTAGGCCCAATTTACTTTTTTTTTTCTTTTAATATAATTCTCTCTCTCAAATATATTTTCAATTAAATTTTAGATCCAAAAAGTTATTTTGAGAACCCACTTTACTGGGAGAGTAGAACGAAACACCTTTTGTGAGGGTGTGAAAACCTTTCCCTAGCTAGCAGATGGGTTTTAAAGGTTTGAGGGAAAGCCTGAAAGGGAAAACTCAAAGAGGACAATATCTGTTAGTGGTGAGCTTGAGCCATTACAAATGATATTAGAGCTAAACACCGGACTATGTGCCAGTGAGGAGGCTCTTCTCCGAAAGGGTTAGACACAAGGCGGTGTACCAGTAAGAATGCTGGATCGTGAAGGGAGTAGATTTGGTGGGGGTCCCACATCGATTGGAGAAAGGAACGAGTGTGAGCGAGGACGCTGACCCAAAAGGGGTGGATTGTGAGAACCCCCATTGGTACTTCAATGGGGAGTAGATTTGGTGGGGTCTCACATCGATGGTAGAAAAGAACGAATGCTAGTGAGAACGCTAAACTCTAAAAAAGGATGGATTGTGAGAACTCACGCAGTGTTTCAAGTTTATAATTTTTACTTTTAAAAAACAAATATGAATAAAACATAACAAAAAAATAATAAATAAATAAAAAATAATCCAATAGTTTGATTTGAAAATTTGATAATTGGTATATTAGAATCTCCTCGAGATCTATACTGGCATCCGCAACCACTGATTTTCCATTTAATTTAATTTATTTATTCTTTTTTTTATAAATTAAATTATGAACCGACATAATCCGACATTTCAATTTTAATTATATTAAATATTTCTTCAAGCTTTCCAACTAAATAAAATATTGCTACAATTAAAATCGACATATTTAAATGTTGTTTGACGTTGGGTGTTTAAAATTGTGTTTGGATTAGAATAAACCTAGATTTATTAACTAATAAATTCATTAAAATTTTGAAAATAATTATCTGTTTATATTTGAATATTCTTTATTACAAAAACTAATTTCATACATAGTATTCTACCGTTTATTATATGGCTAGCTAAAGATATTAAACGTCTAAATGTGTAAGTGATTCTTCAATCTAGTTTTTTCTTTGCGAAATAAGGTGTCATTACATGCATCACGTGATTAATGCGTGTAAAAAAAAACATCCATTTAAAATATTTCATAAAATATGCTACTATTAGTTAAAAATCTACGACTTAGCTCGAGATTATTGGTCTCTATTTTGCTTGCTAGTCCGACTTGAGCGTGCTTTGTACTATACTGCGTTGTTTGAGGCTTGAAAGTTGAATCATAAAGCTTTTCAAAAAGCTCCTCATAAGGTGATATAAGTAGTAAATTGATATTACATCCTTTTCCACTATGAATCATCTCTGAATGACATAAGCTGTAACTCGTCATATTTATCTCATTCATCTTGCTAATTCAACAACAAAATATGTCACCACTTTTGTCTCCTATTTCGATCTTTGTGCAATCTTTGCGTGAAAATAGACGCCGTGTTCACTTTATCTCTATTGTCCAGTTCATGAGTTGACTTGAAGTTTCACGCTTTTGTACCACTTCTTTCAAATGAAAATTTGTTAACAGGTTATCTAAGGTGCTTGAAAAAAGGTGATAGCATTCAATTCAAATTAAAGGTATTAGTTATATGACAAGTTTTTGGTTTGATCGATAGGTTAATGAGATTATGAACTTTTTCAAATTTAAAATATTCACGTTCGTATTCTTTTCTAATAAGGTGAGATTATCGAAATGATTGATTGGCCCCGTTGTCGTTGGAACACGTATGGAAATGAAAATATAATACATACCCATAAATAATTGGAACATGAAAATATTAATTTTTTTAGTAATGAGGGGTAAATATGTAAAAGTGGAGAAGAAAGAATCTTAAGGCAATACCATGGGATGCGGAAGAAACAAAACATCCACATAAAGCAACCTCACCATCT